TCATTGGCCTATTTTCTAACTACTTTATTTTGATCTAAAATGACTTGTTTCAATCCTTTTTTGTCTTGGACTCATTCGATTACAACCCCAACTTCTTGGGACTTCTCACCCATCTCAGAGGTACCCTTGACAACAACGTTGATAAGTCAACCATCAACGATGATAAACCATGACATGAATGTGAGAAAATGGTCAGTTATAAGACGAACATGGATACAAGAATTTCAGTCCCTTAATGTTTTAACAAGGTCATAGTATGCATGGAAGATGATCAAGATTTTGGGTAGTTCCCTATGGATGCTGGGGCTGAAAGAGAGTGGAAGGGCTCTTGAACGTCCCCACTGACTCTAGGATTCTATGGAGCCCAGTCTACATTTTCTTTTATTTTATCTTCTATTTCCATCTCTATTTTTGCATTTCTATTGTGGTTTTTCATCGAGATCTAGGATCCTACCAATTTGGTATCAGACTTAGTTTCCTGTGAAGGGAGATGGCACCCAAATTCAGAGATAAAAGGCTGGAAAAGTTGGAGAAAGCAATAGAGAAATTGTGAGAAGATTTTCGATGGCATACAAGGAGGGAGATATACCTACAGAAATTCTTAGAGGTTGATGGCTGCCTAAGAGCATCTCAATGTTGCTAATACATAAAGAGTTTGACTTAGAGGTTAGCACAACATGGACAAGAGAGGAAGTCATGGTGGGAAGACTAGTGACAAGAGCATGGGATGAGGGCGAGAAAAGATTTATTGATTAAGTGTACACAGATGATGACGCCAAGAGAAGAAAAACCTTATCAAACACAAGAAATAAAAGACCGATCACTAGGGAACCACCTGAAATTGACAACAGTGGTGGGGCCAACTTGCCATTCTAATCTAGATAAGCTGAAACAAAGATAGGAGATCCCAATTTTTGAAAAAGAAGGATTATCCGAGGGGGAACTTGCTCTATTACCTATAAACAAACTGAAGACCACTCACGGTGCTTTTGACCTAGAATTTAAAGTTAGTTCAGCAGTCATATTTAGAGATGGTTTTTGGAAATTTTTAGGAAGAGATAGATTTCGCTATAATGACTTGTATTGTTGCCCTGTGATCCCTTATGAAGGTTTTGACACGCTGAACAACATTTCAGATGATATGAGAAAAAGGTTCACCAACAAAATATTTTATCCACAGAAGGGGATTATGAAGCTAGTAAAAGCATAATGTTTTTTGACACCTATTTCCTCCTGGAAAAAAGTTCACTAAAAATTTGAATTCATCAAAAGATAAAGACCTGACTCTTTGAACATTGAGTCATATGAACCTGAATCTGTTGACTTGCGCGTTGGTGAATCTGCTGACTCCAAAGCTACAGCATGAGGTTATGATGAAAATTGTGTGTTTGGATGCTTATGAGACAATCTGATCTGCGTTAAATGTTTTCAAGGGTACCCAAGGCTGGAATAGTTTCGCAGATACTCGCCAAGGTGCCATCTCCTTGGATATGCAATTTTCTCCAATTCAGTACCACACCTGCGACTTACACGTTGAAGGAAAGGTGGATTTCATGGGCTGGGGGTTAATGCCAAGACTTCTCACTCACGTTAGAGGCACTCTCAACCATCAGTGATGATGAACCAAAATGTGAACGTGACAATGAACGACATGAGATATGGCAAACGTGGCCATGTGAATTTCGGCCCATTAACGTTTAAAAGAAGGCTGTATCAAATATCCCAACAGATTCTAGGCTTGTATGGAACCCAAGCTACTCTTTCTCCTATTATATCTTCTATTCCCCTCTCTATTTGTTATATTTCTATTGTGCTTCTCTGCCGAGATCTCTAGGGTGTCTGCCGAGATGGATGACTTTTGACACTATCATGGGTGATTTTTGGGAGCTCTAATCACAAAACCATCTTAAAGGTTTGAAAATTTTCAAAGGATAAAGGTTGCTCTTTGGATTTCATTCACATTGTTTCCTTCATGCAATTCCAAGATGACACTTTGCCATTGGCTAAATGCGTAGATGAAACTGGAACACGTAGGGCTTCTGAGAAAAGTGTCTCAGTTAACTTGGCAATTCTTTACAAATAAGTAAAGGCTATATTTCCTCATACTCTTCGAGTAGCAACCTGCAATATTCATAACCTCTCAATTAGGCATCCATCTTGTCTATTCATAGGAATTCTGGAGAAACGTATCTTCTTCCCATAAGATACATTACACCAGGAAATAACTCATTTATCCTCATTGATATTCGGATCTTGTCACGTGTTACCAATCCTCAACTTTATTTTCTAAAATTTTCCAAACATTTATCCATATTTGAATGGCTGAAGAAATCGTGCTAAAATAGGGTTTATTGGATTTCAATCAATTTATGACCACCACAATAGTTAGTCGTGACCATGCTTGACAAACCATTCGAACACATAACTGTGCAGCAGAAAAAAATGTTGATACTGGTTCGATAAGGTTCACCCCAGAGGGAAACAGAGCTGCACTCGTGTGCATAACTTGTCTATTGATATGGATAAATAAATGTATCTTGGCTATTAGAATTTTACTATGAGAACAGTAGATCAAATAGTTGTGCGAAGGTAGGATCATTGTTTCTTATTCAGCGTGAATAAAAATCTGTAGCCGGGTGAGTGCCTTTGAAGAAAAAACGAAAGTCATGCCACGTAGTGTGGGGTGAGTCGGCGGAAGTCATGCCACGACCGGCATGTCTATCTGGTATTCTTAATGGCGACAGTGCAGAGCGCCGCGTGGTCACCCGGCGTTGAAGATTAAAACAATCTTTATCTTGGAGGATCCACAGGCGTTTGCGTTTGTCTTTCGTTTCTCCACCTCACACACCTATTTTGTCCATCATCCTCGTCGCCCGCGCACCGACAGGGGCAAGATATATCTGAAGCATTGCTAAAACGTTCCACAAAGATAAGCATAGATCCGGAGATTCCCTTACAGATTGACCTTTGGAACTGCTTCTAAATCCACGGATAGGCAAGAGACAAGGTGATGAACTAAAACATCATAGTAGCAACCAAAGTACGTCTTCATTTGTTTCATTGACGGATTACAACTTAGACTGACCCATCTTAGGAAGAACAACCTAAATTTCGCTACAAGGGAAAGTTTGTTTTGAAGCAAGCCCACATACATATCGTAGAGTGGTATCATAACTGGACTCAGAAACTTGACAAGCCATGAAGGCGGCCGCCAAGGCTAGAACGTTCCACTCACATGGCTTTGTGTTGGAAAGGGTAAGGGTGAGAGAGAGAGAGAGAGAGAGAGCACGAGGGAGATCAGGACTTGGTCAACGAAAGCCGCCCCGCCTGGATGCCAGCTCACACAGGACTGTGCTATCGTCATTCTTTGTTGCAGACTATGATGAGCCGATTCATGGAACGACAGTATGCTCGTAGCACATGCGATGTGCGATCCGACCCTTTCTTTCCTGCTCTTGCATTCGGAGGTGCTCTCCCCCGCCTTTCTTCTTCTCCGTCCAACTTACCGCTCATCATACAATCCTGTCTTCATCCCACAGGAGGAGGGGGGGTGGTTGCAGACGAGCGTGCTCAGCTGCTACAATAATTGCCTTCGCGACGTGAGCTTCTACCTTGACAGCATTCCATTCTCTTCCCTTGGTTACTTGGACTGCCAGTGGATGGCATCCACCTCCAATACAATGACTTACTAGACAGCTGCCCCGAAATCTGCCAAAATGACAAGGAAGGTGGCACGGCGCGGGCTAGTAGGCTACGCTACCGGGGACCGCACATCTGAATGACGGAGGCGGCATCAGGAGTTAGCGTGCCTTCTTGCTTCCACTGACGGAGTTTGCCGATCAGTCGTTCTATAGACGTCTTCTTACATCACAAAACTGCTACTTATCTATCTGGAATCTAATGGCCGATGAGAGAACAGCAAAACTGAACGGCGCGATCAATCCGAGGATGATCTAGCGCCATGGAAGCTTCGGCGTCGGGGGTTAAACAGTGTTTCTCTGTGTTCATTGGCTTTCCCCTTGTTGTAGGACCCGAACTCCTATTCTTTTTTCGCGTACAAAACACATTGAGAATTATCTTGTTTATCGTTCTCGCCATTAGATGCCCGCAGTGAGAATTACTTTAATATAAAGCTATGCATTAGTGTGACTATCCTACATCAACTGAGCCTAGCACTCGACCGGCTTCCAGAAACAGTAAGGTATCACTTGTCCAAAGCCAGAGCGGTCCCCAAGGACACGGTTTATCTACCACCCTCCTCCCCCTTTCCCTCTTCCCTCTCTCTTGGTTGTTCATAAGCCGGTCTTAAAGAGCTTAGGAATGTTACGATCAGAAAACCACCAAATGGCGTACGGATTAAGAGCAAACACCTTTGTGCCTGGCAACGAGAAGTATATGAGAGAGTGGGAGAAGCAAGGAATACAGAACACCTATGCACGCGCTGCTGAGCGTCTGGATGTTTTACCCCCGACGACGATGCCGGCATGGAACTGGATACAATAACGGAGATGTTCGCCGTTGACGGATATGGTGGCACGTCGTCCTTCTGTGGCGGAGCAGTGGGGGCTCTTAGCTTCCGTCGATCCGAATGGATATGTTTCGACTGCAGCATTTACATGCCCGACACGGTCCCCACGCCAGAGCCACACGAGAGGAACCCGGGATTTCGTCAGTGCTCCTCATCTGCGGTTGCAGGACTTCTGCGGTTTAATCCATTGTAAGATCTAGTTACGAAACGTCTAAAGATTAAGAGTGAAGCGTGGCTTTAGAATGTCCCCATCATTCGGTTGGATTACAATACCACCAAAACGCCCATGGGAACGTTTCAAGCAGCTCCCAAGAGTTTGTTTCCTCTCTCAAAGATCGCTTATTTTAACTCCATCGGTGAAAGACGTAACAGTTTGATAACTCCTGACGTTGAGCCACGCTCACGCCCCAAACGATGACAGATTTTCACGACGTTTGTGGGTCAATGTTCATCGGACGTCGTTCAAGAGATGATGAATAACATATCCACGCACATACTCGAGCACCACAATCAACGAAACCACACGTACGGACTCCGGTCACAGACTCTGGGCCGTTATTCTTCTTCGAGCGCGATGGCACCCAAACGATGACAGATTTTCACGACGTTTGTGGGTCAATGTTCATCGGACGTCATTCAAGAGATGATGAACATATCCACATACATACTCGAGCACCATAATCAACGGAACCACACGTACGGACGCCGGTCACAGACTCGGGGCCGTTATTCTTCTTCGAGTGCGATGGCACCCAGAATGCCATCGCCGGACGTCGCTTGTGCTCACGCAGCGAAGTCCTTGCCAGAGATGGAGAGTTAGTCACCGCAAGTGGGAGGGCAGGTTGTCAGAAGGTCCAAGCAGGCGCAAAATGAGGGGAGCTTGAAGCAGGAGCAGTCGGAGCACCCGTCGGCACATCCGTCCCTCGCTTTATCCATGCACATGACACGGCCAATTATTACGGAAGCTCGGCAATCGTTGCAGGACGAGAGCGAGCTCTCGATGACGTCCTGCTTCCCGGGGCTCACCAGTGCGGAGAGGTCGTCCGCGCGCTAGACTTCGCTCCCGCCGGCAAGGGGCTGCCTAGCGGAGGCTGCCAGCGAAGGCATAAAAAGAACTAGAACTACGAGAGCCGCCACTGTAAGAGCCTTGCCACTCTCCATCTCTTTCTCTCTCTGGAGCATCCGATGCACTTCTTACTGCTTCAAGGACGTTTATTTATAGGCAAGTAGTAAGGCCTCCGTGCAGAGAAGCACCGTATTCTTAATTGCTGCTGCACCACGCGGCAAGATATGGTTTGCTGCATCCACAGCTCCCATTCTCACTTTTCGCAGGGCCTATCTTGTAGGGTCCCTTGTTAGAGTCAAACTCCATTAAGGTGACTTTTCTAATCAAATTGTACATTAATGTAATTATAAATGATTTGTGATATTAGGGTTTACCCGAAGCAAAACAGTAATATAGTTATGGAGTGTATTATATAAAGGCCTGCCCTTGGGGTTTCAACACAACAGAACAATACAATTCTTTCGGAGACACTCCATCCATAGGAGAGAGGTTCTGATTGTAGGGATCAAACAGAAGAAAAGAAGAGAAAAATCATTAGACATTTGTCATTTTCTGCATTGATGGTGAATACAGGTACCCACTCGACCACAGTGCACCCCTCTGGGTCAGCTGCCGAGTGCTGGCTTGCCAGCAGGCGGAATATTCTTTTATATTTTTAAATAATTTAGAATTACCTCTAAGTATTTTGAACTTCAGACTTCTAAAATTAACAATATATCCTGTATTTATTCTTCAAGTTAATGAAATAAAATAATAAAATTAATTAAAACATAAAAATCTAGCTCTAACTAATATCTCCAACTTTGAATTTTTGCTAGTCCCTAGCAATAATCAAAAGACTTACAAAGTTAAAGTTATTTATTAATTCTTTTACATGAATCATTTATTTTCTCATTTTTCCACTAGAGATGGCATTCAAATAAATATTTAGATATCCTGTGATTCGAAATAGTTTCCTACAAGATCAAAATAAAAAAAATATTTCCATATCTAAATGAACTATTTTAAAAACTACTCATCTTAACTTTCATTCTCTTCAATGTATCAATATCTTTCATTTTCAGAAATCACTAATTAAATGATCAAAAGTTTACTCAAGTTTTCAAACTATCTTTAGCCTTCTCTTCTAGATTCATGCACCCAAGTAACATATTCTATTTGTCTTGTATTATTATTATTATTATTATAAACATCATAGACAAGTAGCTTTCCTCATATAGCTTCTTTTTCATGTCTAAATCACACATGTGGAAAGCCTCTGATGTAGGACAGGCTTATAAACCAGCCTTGACAACTAAATATGGGTGAGGTAACAAGGGACGGGAACTCTACACGCCACGAGTAATGTTAACCAAGGACTCTAGATGATGAATGCCGAACTCACTAAGTGCAGGCGATAACTGAAGTGCCGTGATGCCGATGAACACTTGCGTCTGGGTGTCGCCAAGTGATGTTAATCTAAGGTGATCCTCTGAGACCATGTCTGAAAGGCGAGGGCTTAATATCGTCGACGTGACTCCGCCACAAGTGCTTGACATCCAACGTGACAATTTTGGCACGCACATCAGAGTCGCACGGTGGAACGTCCTATTCTGTTCTAACCTAGCTAGGTCCAATGGCGGTGGAGCAAGTGCGAAAGATACTGGACGTAGTAAATGTCTCGGTGGAAAGGGGATAAGAGCTGACCTATGGGGCTGAGGTCCGGTTGGTGTGCGATGGGGTGCATAGCTGACTCCGTGGACAGGCATTCCAGTGGGCTTGCCACTCTCCGGGGGAAACAAGTCGTCGACCCCAAGTGGGCATCAGCTGGGGGTGCGGCTAGGCTCAGGCATATGGGTTCAGACGGGATCTAGAGGAAGGGGCACGACCAGGTGGCAAGGGAGCTCGGGTTAGCACCCTTGGTCAGGCGCATGGGCGAGCCCCGAGGGGCAGGCGCGGTGACGCCCAGGCGGGTGCGAGGCGTGCGCGGCTGGCAGGCGCGCGTGGCTAGCGGGCTCGCACGGGGGGTGGACGTACTGGCTGGCGCGCTGGCGGCCGCGCGACGGGCTGCTGACAGTCCAGTAGCAGCGGCTGCGACCTGGAAGCGCTTCCCCTTCCTCTCATATCCTCTCTGAACGAGATTTTTCAACCAAAACATGCTTTCTCCTTAAGATGACGGCTCTGTCCCTTGGGGGTGGCTCTCCACCCCTAATATAGGGCCCCAAATGGGCCAAGGGTGGAGGGCCATGCTTGAGGCCCAAGATGCCAAAGCCCAAATGATAATAGCCCAAAAGAGAAGAGAGGCGAGGAAAGGGAGGACGCCCTCTTCTCTAATTAGGCCCAAACATGTATGGCCCGAGAGGAGAAGAGAGGAAAGAAAAGAAAACAAAGGGAAATGGGCCTTCACATCGCTGCCATGGGCCCAACACGAACCCTAGGGATGGGAGGCCCCCACACGAAGCTGAACTAGAACCCACACAGTTCACAAACGAGGGAAACGAGCAAGGAAAACATAAGACGTGGAAAACATAAGACGTGGAAAACATAAAGACACCGCAGGTGGTGTAGCAGAACCCGGGGTCCTTGGTCTTCGTGCTTGTGCTCCTAGATCCGGTTGGACACGTGAGGGTGAGGTCTCTTCTGTTGTCTCGAGCTCGTGCAATGGTGAAGACAAGTCCCGTCGCCACCAACCTCCATGAGACAAGTGAGAAATCCCCATAGAAGCATTTACACTCACTTTTTATTTTCTTTTTTTTTAATCTTGTCCTAGTCTCACATATAGAAAAGTCTCTATGCGACAAGTGGGAAATCCCCATATATATATATTTTTTGTGAGTTGGGTCTTACACTCTACCATATGATGATTGTTTTTCCATATATATATATAAGACAAATGGTCAATTACTTAGGATTCCGCATACTAAGAATGTCTAACTTCCAATAATTCTTATGCAATTTCAACTTCATCACATTCAACTTCATGATTTCTACTAATTCAAAATCCAAATTCATAACATATGGATCATAATCATTAAGATATTTTTAAAATATTTTATTTTTTCAATGTACTACATTTTTTTTCTATCACTTAAAGTCACTAAATGTAACACACTTTCCATCCAATAAAACAAAAGAAGTATAAATCTCCAAAATAATAGCTAGGAATATTGCAAATAGAGCCATTGTGACTCCCATAAAGAGAATAGTATCACAGTCGAGAGCTACTTGACCATATTCCGAATTCAATAGTTTCAATAAATCCCCTACAAGAGTTCATCTTGGCCCATAAGGTATGCCTTCTATACTACTTTAGGCTACCCTCCCAACAACAACCCCTTTTCTCTTTTCGGTCCATGACGACTATTTGAAAAGCAACAAGAGGTTCCTTTTGTTTTGAAGGCGGTCTCATGGATTAGTTGCCTTTGGTACTTTTGTCCTTCATACTTAAACAAAATTACCATCCTATAGGAAAAATGTAGAAATTCATGAATTGATCACTACTAATTTTAAATTTTTCTTCTATGCTAATTATTCATGAAATAAATCTAACTGAATTTTCTTTGCTCCCCCTAATTAAAATCAGAATTGTACTCAATGATATGAAATATATTATCAAATTAAACTGCAAAGCAAAAGATATATACTCATAAATCAACAAGTCTAAAATTAATTGATAAAATATAAATATCTGAGGTACTACTTAAATGAAATAAGGAGCAACAAAATTCTAAATTTATTAACTACAAAACACAAATTAAATTATACAAAATTAAAATTATTGGGTTGCCTCCTAATTAGTGCTAAGTTTAATGTCTTTAGACAAACACAAGTCTATGATGATTATATGAATGCTATGTCATCATCTAATGTCTCTTTCCTATAATATTTTTAACCTAATCATGGGCATGGAATGAAAAAATTAATTGATCAACTTGCTGAACATAATTCAATTCCTCTATACAAAAATCAATTACCTTAAGATCTTCATAATTATCATCTTTTTTTATAAAAATCTTAAAATTTTAAAAATATTTAAAGAGATGCTTTGACCTTCATATTTCATATTTATAATCTCTTTTTTGTAATTAATCTTTTCGTTGGCTGTGACAAGAAATGAGCATCCTAATATGATTGGTGCATGAGTAAGATTATCTAAAATACGAATATCTAAAATTTGAAAATCTACTAAAAATGTACATCTTTTAACATAGATAATGACATCTTCTAGGAGACCCCTAGGTGTTTTAATGGATCTATCAACTAGCTGAAGTTTCACTAAAGTTGGTTTTAGTTCTCCTAATTTTAATTTTTTTAAAACAGCTAAAGGTAATAAATTAACACTTACTCTCAAATCGAAGAGCACACTTCTAAATATAGTTTCACTCAATTTACATGAGATAAGAGGTGCTCTTGGATCTTTACATTTCCTAGGCAAAGAATGAAAAATAATGTCACTAGCCTCTTCGAATAAAGATATCTTCTAAGGTGACCTACGAGGTGTTCATAATTCTTTTTAAAAAAATTCATATGTAGATATATATTTGATTGTATCTATCAAAAAAATAGAAATATGTACTTGTTTAAATGTTTTCATAAGCTCTTCATTAGGTTCAGCTGTTCTTCTAAGTTTTGATTATAATGCCTTCAGAAAGGAGACTCTTTTTTTAAGTTCAACTTGTTGTGATAAAATAAGAATGGGTGGTACTTCTGATTTTTCCTCTTTTGATTCTTGTTTTTCTTTTAAGTTATCATCATCAGAAAATAAACTATTATGATCATAATCATCATCATTCAACACTTCATTGTCATGAACTTATTTTTTCTAAAAAATTTGATGCATATGGATCTTTGAGTTGCTTTCCCCTCCTCAAAGTGGTCACCGTCTACATTTTCAAAACCTTGAGATGTAGATCGTTCATAACTACTAGAAGGTTGATTTCATCGATTCATGATGGGTTAACTAAGAAGATGACCTGTTTCATGTTTTGAATGGGCCAAGGCTAGTTTAGTTATTTCTTTTTCTAACTTAAGAGTTGTTTGTTGGTTTTCTTGCCTAATTTGCTCCATCATCTTCATTATAGATGTATTTATTTCCTAAAATTGTTACATCATTTGCCCCATAAATTGTTGCATCAAATTTAAATTCATGTCTGATTGATTTTGATATAAATTAGGATATTGTGGGCTAAAATTAGGGACTAAACTTCAAGAAGAAGGGTTAAAATTATGGACTGTTGGTTGATGAGTACTGACGTGACTTAGTCATTGTATATTAAATCACGCAAATATAAAATTTATAAAACTAGAAAATACGAATTTTTGGATATTAGAAGTATTTCTGAATAAATATATCAATTATAATTCCATAAAGCTTCCAAAAATAGCGATAATTTTCTAGGTCAATCACAGGGATATAATATAATATCTGGTAGTTATTCAGAATTTTCCTCAGATAATACTATTTTATATGATTTTTATACTAAGAAATGAAAAGGAAATATATTTAAAATTCACAAAAAAAGGAAATAAGGTTGCAGGCATCAGGATGACGTCAGCGCCCGGCAAATGCGAATCGGGCAGAAACAAAGTTCCGCCTGGCGATTCTTACGTAAGTGATTACAGATGATTTAATTGATCAAATTAAGATCTGTAAAATACAAAAGAATCGTAATGAAATGAATTAGATGTTGGTAAATTTAAAATCAACAAATTATCACTAAATGAAACGAAAATTAAGTTGAAAGCAGGAAAACAGAGTTCCGGCGTCGCGACGGCGATGCGTTGGCGATGCACCGAAATTCTGAGTGTTTGGGAGGATCGTCGTGCAGTGTCCACGGTCTTGAAGGCTCTCCTTGGATAAGGACGACGTGGGCAATCTCTAGATCTTCTCGCGAAGTCTAGAGATTAATGAAATGGATCATCAAGTCGTCTCCGGCAGCTGTCACCCGGCAGAGCGGAAAAACGGCGACTTTGAGGCTCTCCGGCGGTTGTCACCCGACGGAGAGGAGCTGGATGGAGGTGGGGCGCGTGTCAGGGAGCTTCATCCTCAGGTCCGCGCAGCAAGAGGAGGCTCTTCATCGCATCTGATACGCTCTCAAGAGGTGGTGACTCATCTCCCAGCGGATTGTCCTCTTCTCGACGACGGCTTGTTTGTCGATCAATCGGAGATGATTTACTCGATGGATTCGTGATCCTTTTATCGCGAATCGTTCATCAATTTTAGTAGCAATGCTCCGCAAATCATGTTGACGAGATTTTCGCCGATGATCCAGGGATTCTCGTTGCTTAATCCTTCACCGGCGATCTGCAGGAAAGCCGCGATAATCAGATAAAAATATATGAATTTTGACTCTGGGAGGATTCAAACTCGCGCCGGTTGTCCGCCCCTTCTGAGGAAGGTGTGATGCGGGTTTAGTCCCACATCAGTTGTGCGCTGATTTTTCAGGTGAATATATAGTAATGTTAGCTTTCCAAGCAAAGTTCCTTCTCTCACATGTATGACCACTCCTTGCCCCACAGCTGGCTGGCCACCGGTGACGTGGAAGGGGAGTGGCACACACGTGCCCCTATCGGTCCAAGCCGCTTGAGCCCCCCTGCTCGCGGCTACTCCCCGACTGAGCTTCCGACCCGCTTGCCCAGCTAGCCGGCGGGTACTCTTTAACACAAATATAAGTCTATTTATCATGAGTTAAGGCTAAAACTATATTATTTACTAATTATTAACTCATGATAATGAAGACTTATCAAGTACCTTGTTGGAAATTATGAGTATTTTAATAAAAATAGGGTTTAGCATTATATTGTGGTTGATGAGGAGGTCTAAACATATGATTAGGTCTAGGAAATGATTGAGAATCCATAGCATGATTTTGATAATTTGAGAAATTGTTTTGATTTTTTCAAGGAGGATGATTGATTCCTATGATCATGAAGTGCGTGTGCATGCTCTTTATCTAAATTAAGACATTGAGATTTATAATTATCAGTCCTATTACATAATGAATATCTAGAATATGAATGTTGTGCAGACTGTGTAAGTTCCCTTTTATGCACCAAATGATCATATAAAATATTCAGCTTTTGATGAACTTCACTAACTTCATTTCTAATGTCTAATGCATCATGATTTCTGACCTCAAATTCATCTTTTATTTTTAATATTATTGTGATCATATAAAGCAAAAGATTCACGTTCAATAGAATTTTCACTTAAATTTTTATATAATCTATAAATTTCATTTTCATTCTTACTCATGAATGTGCCTCCACATGCTGCATCTATAGTATTCTTGTGCTATTCAAATACATCATCATAAAATACACGATTTGATTGCTATTTGGTAATTCCATAATGTGAACATCTCTATTAAAGCTCCTTGAATCTTTTTCAAGATTCATGGAATGCTTCTTCTGATTTTTGAGTAAATTAGAGAATGACTTTCACATGGCATAAGTCTTGCCAATGAGATAAAATTTTCTCAAAAATATTTGTTCTACTTCTAATCATGTGGTGATCTCATGTGGTAATGACATGAGTCAATCTGTCATTTTCTCATGCAATGAATATGGAAAGAGACATAACCTAAGTGCATCTTGAGGAATATTAAGATATGAATAAGTTCACATGCAGCTAAAAATCGAAGAATATGTTGATGTGGTTCCTCATTAGCTAACTTGCAAAATTCAATAAGCATTTGTAGAGTGCTATGACAAAAATCAAAATGAACATTTAGCAAAATAAGAGGTTTAACCTGCAAAGTAGGTCTATATAAATCAGGTGTAAAATAATCATGCATAGGTTTATAAGGTTGAGTACTTTCAACCTAGGTGATTCTACTTCCGTAAAAGATAATTGTTTTCCTTTTTCTATTGCTAAAGTCTCTAATATGGGTAGCAAATTTCATTTTTCTTGTGCCCCTAAATTCTTAGATTGGTTGGTAGCTAGATTTTCTAAGATTGGTTGCAAGTTGTATCTACTATTCATAAATCAGATTTTTCGGAATTTAAATCTAGCAATGATTATGACATAAATATATGATTCTAATAAATATGTCAAAAAGGAGTATAGATTTGATGTGAAATTTTAATATTCAAGTAAATAAATAAAAACTAAAGATGTAAAATTCTAACTTATGAAATAAATGTAAAAATAAATCAAATGAGCATAATAAACTTTCTTTTCTTTTTTTGAAATACTATTTAAATGAAAATAATAAAACAATGAAAGTTATAATAATTATATTTAAAAAAAATCACTGAAATATGAAAAACTAAATCAATTACCACCAATTAAAAACAAATCTCCTTGAAAATGCCAAAAAGATGATGTCTTATGAGAGAGAGGGCGATCGATTGATGAAAAAAAAAGAGAAGGAGATCGATCGAGAGAGAGGGAGAGAAAAGGAAAGATCTCACGAGAGATGGAGAAAGAAGAAAAGGTCTCACGAGAGAGGGAGAGAGAGAGAAATAAGACAATAATAAAGAAAGAGAGAAATACAGTCAACTCGTTTCATAGTGATCATTATTCTTAGACAAATGTATGCTCAAGAATTCACACACATGACACGAGGTCAACCATGAATGCCTCTAATTTATTTTAACTGTCGAATGCTCATTAGTCAGCCTTTAATCTCAGTGATTTCACATTCGAAAATAGAAAAATACTCGTTATTTGTAGAATGTTAGAAACATGAATACGTCAAGATTTGATTGTGAAAATCAATAGAAAATAAGTTGAAAATAATTTTAGCTTAATGTTAGATGTGTTTTAGAGGATTCAAAAGAAGAACAAAGATCATTCATCAATTTTTAAATTAGTTCTACTCATTACAATCGAAATATGTATGAAACTAAAATAACTTGTCATAAAATTTAAATAAATGATAAAAGTAGATAAGTAAATACTGAAAGTAAGAAATAAATTATTGGCCAAGTTTAGTCAGCCTCTTGGGCAACTGAAGACACCAATGTGACGGCTTAATTTTGTCTGAACGTGTTACACAACACTGGAAGTCACAGAAGTATTGTCTAGAAGTGTTGCATCACTTGTCAAAAAGAACCACTAAAAGAGGGGTCAACCATGTTGTCATCGTCATCTGAGGGGAGAAGGAAAGAGCTGATCACTTGCTAGAGGCCTTAAGTGTAGTCAGGGGAAGGAGGAACGAACATGCCGATTGTCAAAGATGTTGATCACACAAAAAGAGGGAGGAAATAGATTATTGTATTTGCAACTACTATTGGGATTTTATAGATAATCAATAAATTTTTTTTTACTGGATAACAATCTATTACTCTCTTTATATCCTTAATTGTGATACGTGCGAGAGCTTCAGTTCTCAATATCATGGTGGTCTAAGAGCTATTGAATCATATGTGTTTGGTCACGTGGGGTGTTGAGCGACATAGGATCAATCCACCACAAATCCTTACCAATTGAGAATTTAAGTCTCTAGTACCATGGTGACTCCTTAGCCGTTAGATCATCCTTTAAGGCCATGTACATGTTGAGCGGTGTCGGATTCACAAACTGTTGATGGATCACTTTACGCATCTGGTATCGTGGTGACTCGCCCATTGTAGGATCTATCTTATTTGATGACGTGACTTGTTAAATATCATTGGATCACACCATGATCTAGATGGTCAACTTGAGACACACGAGAACGTTTAGTACCACATTAAAAATATTTTGTCACATGAGCCAAATATAAATCAAAGCTACCGTTTCTCATCGGAGATCACTTCTCTCAAAGTAAAATAATGCCCAGGACCATCTCAGGAGAAGACAAAAAGGTGGTCCACCTTCGCGCACGCACGTTTGGTTGACCACTAGGACGTGGTAGAGAGTGACGCACATGTGTGCAGAGTGAGTCCTTCACCACTCGAGCACAACTTGTGGCTCACTCAATCTGGGTCTACTCACTCAATTGCAGCACCCCCTAGGTAGTTGTTGAGTGCCTACTTGCAAGCGAGCATAATATTTTTTATATTTTTAAATAATATAAAATTATGTTAAGTATTTTAACTTCAAACTTCTAAAATTAATGATATGTCCTATATTTATTCTACAAGTTAACAAAATAAAATGAAATAATAAAACTAATTAAAACATAAAATTCTAGCTTTAACAATAGACTAAGCTTTCAAATTATACTTGACTTCTTAATCTCTCATTATTTTTAATTTGCTTACCATTACTTTCTCATGATGGCATATTCTTTTAATATTATATTTTCCACAACAATAAATAATATGATCATTTCAAAATATGTAAATTCAATATGCTGACATGATACATGTTCAATAGATTCTCATTTAAATGTTTAACATCATTCATTATGTCACTTCCACATTTATCTTGATATAACATATTTTCAAAATAAGAAATAATTTGATCATTTGAATTCATCTCAAACTTATCTATCATCATCAAAATGTATGCATTCAATGTTCCAACATTTGCATGTATGGAAATATAACTACTCACATTTATGAAAAACTCAAACTCCTGAAATATATTAAACTTTAGTTTTCAACAAAGCCTTTTTCACTCTTTATATAAAAGTTCAATACTTTGAAGCCATTTCAAGCCCTTTGTATTTTTGATACCTCAAGCCTATAAGTAATAAACTAAATTAAGCAATAAAGAGCATAAACAAAGCTCAAAATTCAAGAACAATATCAATTGATCAAATGATGGATGTTTCAATCTTCATTGTTATACATCAATAGTGGATATTATTTTATTTATTAAAAAATTCTAGATCACATAAACAAGAAAAATCATGCTAGCACTATACATAAGAGGCCCTCAAGCATATATGAAAATTTATTTTTGTCATGCTCATTAAAGAAGTAACATAACATTTCTCTTTGGTCTAACTAAATGAAAGAAGGTATAAAATTGTATCATATGCATCATAGCTTGACAATTTTCATAAAGCCAAATCCACATGCCACTTCTAGAAATCTTGTAAAATCTTTACAAAAGTGAACATCTTTATTCATATTTGTAAGTAATAATACCTTACAAAGATTTCTCCTTTCCACTGCATTCCACAATTAAGAACTCTTATTAAAAATCACCAAGTTTAAGATGAGTATTGATAAGTTTCAAATTAGAAAATTGTAAAATTTCTAACATCAAAATAAAAAATTTAACATGAAGTTAAATGATGGATAAAGTCATGCAATAAGGCTATTTTGGAAAATGAGAGAATGGAGTAGTAATTTTGTGTTGTGGTACTAAATTATATCAGCCTTTCTCTAATTTTGAATTTCAAGAAATAATAGTTTGATGAAATCACAATCAAGTGACAATATTATACCCTTGAAATATGCTTATCTATTGATTATTTATCTAAATCAAGCTTCACTTTTTTCAATGAGTATGGCTGTTTACAATTATCAAGTTATATTTTCTATACAAGAAATCATACTTGAGAAAGACATTATAGATCCAAAGCAAATCTGAAAATGACAATTGAAATACATTTAATGAAATGACTCTTAAAGAAAAAGTCCAAAAGGTTTAATATGTATGAATGCACCCTTTTGTGCAAGTAATCATCAAATAATATTTCAAGGAAATAATGAACCAATAATGTTGACACCTCAATGGTGCAAAAAGGTGACCCATAAAATGGGTATTTATGAAATTGAATGTCTTACACATATAAAGTCCTGCATACTTTTCAAACATTAAATATTGAGATAGATTTCATTTCTTACAAAGAATAAAAAGAAATCATTTATAACATGTTTCCCAAGCACTTAAAACACAAATGACTTAATGGTGTAAGAATTGAAACTTATAAAAAGCCCTTTTAATAAATTGATTCAGTCAAATGCCAATAAACATGGACATTTTACCCCCATATTTTAGCATTATGACGAGCTAAGCTAAGTGAGGGGTTACTAATTTGAGTTCATGTGGACATTTTTGTGCTTTAATCAGTGCCTTCTTTGGTCTTGAACATCACAAGAGAGAACTGAACTGGGGCTGGACTTGGACAGATTAGAGTCAACTTTGCCCCTTTGGTACCCCCGCAGGCGTAGAACTATTAATAACTTTCTTCTCAAAATACTTAATACAGAAATACGATCATGTGATGGTCGGCAGACTTCGAAGCCCGGTCCACCTAAATTGGGCCGGCCCATTTACGGTTCAGGCTGCTCTGGATAGAGGAGAGAAAGAAGCAACTTCAGCAGTCTACTTTGGGGCTGAGGACGATGTGGCCGTTACGAAACACATGTCAGAGAAAGCTTCTATCCACGTCAGCAGTCCGTCGCCGCCAACACGAGATGGCGTTCAAAAACCGGCGAAAACACGACAAAACAATCAGTAATGGTGCCCGCCGACAGTAAAGGGAAGAAAGACGCCTCTTTTAGTTAATTAAAGCCGTTGCCAGCCACCAGCCCCTCCGGTGGCACGGCCGTCTGTCGCCACATCCTCTCCACGGCTAGAATAAATTTGAAACCTTGCCAGCTGCAGTGCCTCTCTCTCTCTCTCTCTCTCTCTCTCTCTCTCTCTCTCTCTCTCCACCCCGACCATTCTCGCTTTCCTTCGTGCTCTCTCGGAGTAGCCGTCTCTCTCTCACTTGTTTCCGAAGGAAGCGAGGCGGGTTCGTTCTGTTTTACAGCGTGTTCGACTTCCTGTCGATATCTCAGAATCCTTTGCTTCTTCTAGCAGGATATGTTTCGCCATTTGATGTGGATTTAGAGGGAAAACTTGTCGAAATGGAGGATTCCGCCGGTTTGGTGTCGTCGGCGGATGCGTTGATTTGAGGCATGAAGCACCAGGAACGGAGGAGCGTGTGTTAGGTAGCTGTCTGGGGGCAAGAACAACTCAGCTTTGGCTTCCGCGGCGGTGGCGGCGGCGGAGGAGGAGGTGGAAGAGATAGGGGAGGGATGTCGTTCATCAGCGGGGCGTTCCTGAACAGCGAGCTCTCCAGGCCAACCTCCATCTTTGGGCTGCGGCTTTGGGTTGTGGTTGGGATCTGCGTGGGCGCCTTCATCGTCCTCTTCCTCTTCGTCGTTTCCGTCTGCCTCACCTGCCGGTGCCGCAGTGGCTCCCGCCGCCGGAGCCGAAGTCCCTTCTCCCCCATCAAACGGCACCACCGCCAGGACCCCACACCCCCCATCTCCAAAGAGATCCTCGAGATCTTCCCCCCGCCCCCAGAACGCCGCCCTGCAGCTGCGGCGGCGGCGCCGGCTCCGGCGCCGGCGGAGATTCAGATCGATATTGGGGGAAAGTCCGACCACCGGGTGGTGTTCTCCGAAGGGGGGAGCCAGAGGCCGTTGGGAGGATCTGCTGCAACGAGCGGTGGCGAGAGCGGGCGGTCCGATGGGGCGTCGTCGGTGGCGTCCGCTGGAGGGCGAGGGCCACCGGAGGTGTCGCATTTGGGGTGGGGGCACTGGTACACGCTGAGGGAGCTGGAAGAGGCGACAGATGGGCTGGCGGAGGAGAACGTGATCGGAGAAGGAGGGTACGGCATCGTCTACAGGGGGGTTCTCGCCGACGGCACCGTGGTCGCCGTGAAGAACCTCCTCAACAACAGGTGGGTATCCCCCTTCACTCTGCCTCCTCTCCTGCGTTCTCTGAATTAGTTCTTATTTGAGATCCTCTCCTGGATCTCTTCCTTATGATTTGGACGAGCGCTGGTTCTTTGGTCAGAATGGAGACTCGTGGGATGGATTCCGATCTCCGCCGAGTTCCGCGGTAGACTTGTTTGCTTGTTGATGGCTGCCCCATGTTGACTTTGTTTTCTTGTCCTTCACAACGAGTCAATGCAAGGCAGATCTCCACCGCTTCACTCGGGTTCTTTGTCGTGATATTTCGGACCAAGATGGCACCTTGATGCCAAACGCCCCCGATTTGCGGGCGGAATGTTCTCCGTTCGGCTTCTGTTTCTTCTCCTAGATGGGTCACCGAGAACAGATCTCAAACCATGGTCGGAAAATCATCTACAAACCCTAATGTTCTGCGAACCATGGCAGGGGCCAAGCAGAGAAGGACTTCAAGATGGAAGTCGAGGTGATCGGGCGCGTCCGGCACAAGAACCTCGTCAGACTGCTTGGGTACTGCGTCGAGGGGGCTTACAGGTGAACCTCCGGTTCTTCATGGTGGATAGATTTTAGTCAACTCTCTGATAATCAGCTCGACCCTGGTTCAAGGATCCTTGTGTACGAGTACGTGGGCAGAGGCAACCTCGAGCAGTGGCTGCACGGAGATCCGGGGTGCGTTGACCCGCTCCCGTGGGAGACAAGGATGAACATCATCCTCGGGACAGCCAAAGGGTACTCGACAAGTTTGAATTCTCCTATCCTCTCGTTGACCTCCGCCTCTCTTCGGAGCGCTGATCTCCGCCTCCTTCATGGGCAGCCTGGCCTACCTCCACGAGGGCCTCGAGCCGAAGGTCGTCCACCGGGACGTGAAGGCCAGCAACATACTCCTCGACGGGCAGTGGAACGCCAAGGTCTCCGACTTCGGGCTCGCCAAGCTGCTCTGCTCTGAGCGCAGCTACGTGACGACCCGCGTTATGGGGACATTCGGGTCAGCGCCCTCATCCTCTTCCTCCTCCTCCACCTTCAACCTTCAAACCTCACGTCCAATCTCGCCGGCGGCTTCAATCGTGTTCGTTCCGTGGTCGGCGCAGGTACGTGGCTCCCGAATACGCCAGCACGGGGATGCTGACCGAGCGGAGCGACGTCTACAGCTTCGGCGTGCTGGTAATGGAGATCGTCTCCGGGAGGGTCCCCGTTGACTACACCAGGCCTCCAGGAGAGGTGGGTCCTCTCCTCGCCTGTTAATTTTTAGGGTTCCGATCCCATCTCCGGCCATGGCTGGTCCTCTGAACTCAATTACCTGGTCGTCTGCCTGAAGGTGAACCTGGTGGACTGGCTCAAGGACCTGGTGGGAGACCGCAAGGCCGAGCAGGTGGTGGATCCGAGGCTTCCGCAGGCGCCGCCGCCCAAGGCCCTGAAGCGGGTCCTCCTGGTGGCGCTCCGCTGCGTTGACCCCGACGCCCAGAAGCGCCCCAAGATGGGGCACGTGGTCCACATGCTTGAGATGGACGAGCTCCTCTCTCGTGACGTACGTTCGGTGATATCTTCTTGCCCCGGTGGCTGGGCTCTCTCTCTCTCTCTCTTTCTCTCTCTGTCTCGGTTTCTGTCTCAGAACCGGCGTTTTACTTTCCCGCAGGACGACCGGCGGCAGGCCCCGAAGCAGTCGAGGAGGACACTAGGAAGGACGGGATGAAGAAGACCAACCCAGGAAGCTCCAGTCATTCATTTCTCTGAGGTCCCCTCCCTCTTCTGTGCCATTATTTTCCATTTGCAGTCATCTCGTCGTGGAGATCTCTGAAGGCAGCTCCCCTCTGAATCACTTCTCCTCCTAAGCCACGGGCAGATCTGAGATTCACATGGCGGAAGTAGCCAACTCCGACGTTAATGCGGAGGGTCCGGGGGAAGTAGCCTCCTACTGCAACACAGCATGTGGGACTCCCCTGTTCTCCGGGTCGTTGGAGGAGGGTGGTCATAGTAATCTGAACCGTTCTGGCCTGCCGTCGACGCACGTGATCGCACAGCTGTCTCCCGTGGGCGGGCTAAGCTTTTAGTTACGTGGCTCACGGTCGGTTTGCCTCGCAGGAGTCCGGCACGTGAGGTGAGAGAGAGGGTGAAAGAGAATAGGATAAAAATTACACAAGGTTGGTAAGTAAACAATGAAAAAATTTAGGGTATTTCAGGGAGGATAGGAGGCGCTTGATGGCGAATCTCCCGCCTTGTGAGGTTAGATGGCGATGAAAGCGGTAGAAGAAGGGGAAAGGCCCGCACGCCTTCTCGGTCAACATCGCTCTCTCCCCTCGGGTTTACATCCCGCCGGTGAGTGATAGCTTCCTTTCCTCGGTTTCAGATAGTATTGGAGTCGAGACTGTGGACGTCAACTTGAGCCTCCAATGTTTCTGCCATCTGAATCTTTTTTCTCTCTCTTTGGCGGCATTCTATCCCCTTTTGATCCATATTTTAAAATGTTTCGGTCGACACCGGGAGAGCCATCGTGATCCGGAGGTCGATTGTTTCTGCAAGATAGCATGTTCCCTTCGCGCTGGCCAGGACTAGACTTCGCTGGAGATGTAGTTCTTAGTAGATCAGCCTTTAATGAACCCCGAGTTCTCATTATGGTGATGCAGAAGTCATTTACTTCGGGATCCGCAATTCCCAGAAAAATATCTTCCGACAAGTTTCCTTGCTATGTCACAGCTAGAAAAATTCAGTACATGAGAAAAAATCACAAGAAAATTCCCCAAAGATCCACTCAAACCAATGGGAAATCTTCACTATGTTAGGCTGAATTTTCTCTGGTTCTAAGGGTGATCTGATCTTAGGTTTGAGGCAATGGTTGATGAAATTTCATTCACCTCAGTGACTAATCAGGCTAATAAAAGAGAATGTAAAAGCACTAAGGATAGCAAGAATAAGAGAATACAAAGCATCTTGTAATAGAGAAGATTTCATTAGAAATAGAAGATAAGTTGACACTCATAAGAAAAACTATTTTCACAAGAATTAAATTCTTCAATCAACTTATGTAAACACTCATATATTATTTTTACAAGCTTTGGCCTACCTATTAATGTAGCCCAAATATTGTTGTCAAATCAGGGATGAAAAGTTTTTCAACAGAGGTGGCCAAAAATATATATTTAGAGGTGCCATAATTTTGTGAACAACTTCAATACACATTTTCAGATCATCTCAATTCAAACAAAATGATGCGACTTAGTTTAAATCCTATTTCAATTGAACCAGAGGTTCATGAGACATGAAGATCTTTTTGCCCCAAATTTAGCTCAAAATGATCCAATATGAGATTTGAACACATGTTTAATGTGTCAAAATCTCAATTCTCATTTTTACTATTTTTCATGATTTATTAATGTAAAGTAATCTCCCTATTGTTATCAAGGTGTTCCTATTTCTTAAGGACACTCTAACAAAATTCCCCTTTCTTTAAAACTATTCTAACAGAACCTTCGTACTTTTAGGGTTTAGATGTCCTTCAAGAGAAATACATTTAGCTATAAGTACTAACATATTTATCTGAAATCTATTTATTCAAATGAGTTCTATAAAATTTATTATCATCAATATAGAATTGAGAATAAATATCTAAATACAATAATAATTTTGCATTCAAAACTAATTCAGATTATCTCAAATACATCATGTGATACCAAAGAGACACATTAAATTATAATATCAATATAAATCATCATTATCTTGGTCACTTTTTGTTAGGTTTAAGTTCACACTTGATCAAGGAGAGGTTAACTTGATTGATTTCTACTCATTATTAGGATAAGTCCTCTGTAAAAAAAAATAAAAAAATTCTTAACTTCTAAGGTATTTTAAAGTAGTTCAATTTAGTGGTTATATCCACTCTTCGAGAACAAGACTTATTCTTCAACAACTATTGAGTGTTGGAATAAGTTCCTATAGAATTTTCCCCAAAAGTTGTCTTATAGACTCCAAGATGCCAACAATTGAATAATGGGTTAACTCTTTTGAGTGATTAACTAAAGGTTAATCACACATTTATCCCATTAAGAATATGAAAGATTCCACTAAAAGTTACTTTTCAAAAGATGATGCTAATTAAAAGTGTGTTTTGAGTTTCAATGAAGGAGAAGAAGCTTGAAGCTTGATTTTTGTTGACCTTTTTCAGTAGTGATGTTAATACATGATTGGGGGGCTGCATATTACAAATGCTAGATAAGGAAGACTATTTGATACTTGAAAAATATTCAACTTAATGACTTTACATATTTAGAACAACCAGCTAGGATGTTTACTTCTATATATATTGTATTGTGGAAATACTCAATGGCAAGCTTGAGATGATAAAGTAAGGATGATTATTCTCTTCTAATCAATTGTTAGAAAAATATAGTATTTATAGAAAAATCATGTTTGAAAAACTTATCAGATTTGCACAATCTTTCAACTACTACTTTATCTATAATAACTAAGTGAATGACTACTAAATTGATATGAGATATTCATTAAATAATTTAGACATCTTTAAGTGAAACCAATATGGAATCTTATTTAGACAACATCTATATCCAAATTGTATCCATTCAAATTAGTTTGTTAATGATATGATATCATAAACATTAAAATGATAATAGATCTGTCACTAGAACATTGGTTTAACAGTTAAAATTAATCTGAATCATGTCAATTAAAATATAATCATCAAGAAGACATCTTGACATATAAAATAACAACGTGAATTGTTCAGAATATTAAAATGACTTTATGAAATATAAGTATTAATATTCTAAAATTCTGTACAATAATTTTTTTTATAAGATTTCAATCAACTAATTCAATATAAAGTTTATCTAGATGTATTAATATGAATACTTGAGTACATAGTGGACTGAGTAACTTTCATACCTATATTTTGCTTAACAAAATCTTGTTGACTTGAGTATATCATAATCACTCCATTTCTCATTACAATATTTCTTATAAATATTGATGATTTCTAGAGAAATTTATAAATTAATAGTTTGATCATTTAATTGATGTTATAATTATTTGTCATCATCAAAATTATGAATTTAACATTTATGACATATAAAATTATGCCTCAGATAATATTCTCTAACATTCTAAAAATCTTAAGAAACAATATAAACAGTTTACATGCAATGAATTAGTTTGATATCAAGAATAATCAGAAGTAATTATTTTACAAGGCATTCATCTAGCACATATTGAATAAGTTTACATGCCCATGTCTTTCATCTAGATTGACACAATAGATGACTAGTTTTTGGAGTTGACAACATAAATTGAGCCATTGATATCATCTCAATTAATGCAGTTGAGACTTAATTGTTATCACTTTGCTAAAGTATAATAACTTATTCTCATGTTATGTTAAGTAAGATAGTCACCCAATAATTTTAATCTTAACAAAAATGAGATTATACATCGGACATAGCAATTTCTCATTTTTTTCACATATATGAGAATATAGCATCCATTGTGATCATCATCAGAGAGTAGGAGACTTCTCTTGTATATTGGATCCGCATCTGCATGTGTGGAATATCATCTTTGAAACTTATGTGACTCTGAAGCGTTAGTAGACCACCATTTTGCATAAGGAACAATACTCTCATTGGTACCCTTATTTAGAACTAACATCAATGCATGATATAATTTCTGAGAACAATGGCCATATTCTCCATAAATTTGACCTTATCTTCTAAGCCTTGATTATCGTGGGCGAGTATTCTCCCAAGTCAAACTATCCATTAAAGACTGCGCAGTAGTCCTTGTCTCGAATCCGGCTTTCTCTCAACCAAGCTCCCAGAAAAGCCCAGTCCACGCCGAAGGTTTGCCAAGTCGAGTTAGGACATGAGAATCTATGGTCTTTACCAGGTTAAGACACGCAGATGTCTGTGATCTATCCAGAATTTCGTGCTCAGTTTTTCTGAAAAGAAGCTCTTTACACAGCTGACGTCGATAGTTGACTTTGATCTGCAGGGATTTCTTTAGACCTGGAAACGGTCTCTTGGCAGCCGATCTACCCTGCTAGCGTGGCCGTGGGCCGTGAAGACCGAGGCGCTGTGGGTATAGACGTTTCGTCGGCGTTGACCTGCCCTCTTCGAAGTCCTCCTCCATCCCTGCTCGACTGGCCTTCCGCCATTAACCCCGACGGGCAATAGGAATGAGGAAAAAGGGAACTTGCCACCTACCTCCGACTCTCCGCGGGAGTGTCCGCTTCATTCCGTCACATCATAGTTTACCGCAGCAGGTGGGGGAAGGGAGCAGGAATCTCTAGAAATTCTCTGAGGGGAAGCTTCGGGGGCCACGGCCCTGTGGTGCGGTACGCACCGTATGAACTCGCAATTTCGGACCAGGCGAGGACAGAGGAAGGGGTCGCTTGGTTTGTCTTCGGTTCCTTCCATCCGTCTCCCCTCCGCGGCTTCCCCTCCCGTCGTGCGGTGGAGCGCCATCCCAGGCAGGATGGCGGCCCCCCTGGGTTTGTTGATGTTCGTCTTCACCCTCGTACTCGTCGGTTATGTCACCTGGGAAAAGGTCTTCGCTACCGGCGCTTCGTCCTTTTCTCACCAAGTTCTCCTTTCGGAGAGTTCTCCCGCGCGGGGAACCGCCGTGTATTCCATTGAGGTGGTCAAAGAGTACCACCATGATCCTGATGCCTTCACGCAGGTAGGCCATTTATGCGTTTCTTCCCTTCTCGTCTTCCTTTCAGAACTAGAATTTGGACGTCTCCAATTCTTGCCAATAACTGCAGTATCTGCAAATTGTCGATCACGAAAGGTTTACTTCTTGCTACCGCATCCTCTGCTAGATATCTTCAGGTATTGCCATTGAAGGCGGGAACGACTAATTAAGGGAGTTAACGAAGTAGCATGAAACCTAAATTGGATAGTCTTCTCTCCATCTTTTTTCATCTCTCATGGAATGCATTAGGAACAGATCTTAGCCAAAGACAGCGTTTAGAAACCAGAGAATTTTTTTCTACGTTGCTGAAAATGCCCAAATCCATTCGTTTCAGACATGAAGGCAGACATTTTCGCTACATTACCGAGAACTTGAATGGTCAGATTGCTCAGATAAGCCCTGCCACACGCATGGTACCAATTTCTGGAGATGTTGCTCCATGCCTAGCCCTATTGGTCTCGAAGAAACGTTGCTTAAATGTGGGAGGAATGGGAGTGATCACTGTTTTTGAGCTTGATGCCATGGTGAACTATGTTTAATTGGTCTATGCACGAATGAGCTCACTAAAGATTCATAAGATTCCTGATAAACCTAGAGCCATCGCCCTTCCCTTATAAGTTTTTGCTACTTTGTTTCTTCTCTTATAGCAATGATTCAAGGCATGGCAAAGCTCCCCCAATGGGTCAAGTCTGTCAGTGTCTCTACATCGTATTATATCTTCTTCTTCCTTCCTTCTAGGTTCTCTTTCCCTCTTCTCTCCCATGTTTTCGTCACCTCTGCTTCTATTTATTTCTTTGGATATCCTCAAACACAACAGGTATGATTCATGGTGAACTGAGTGCTGGCTGGTTTGAAATTTCAGTTGCACCCTCCATCTTATTCATGTGATATATTGCCGTATATTCCTGTAAATGGGTGACTATCACAGTTTCTGTGCTCTGTATTTCTTTATTTCTTACTGGACAAGTTTGTTTTCTGGCCAGAGGAATCATTAACGCAGGACGTAGAGAGGGAGTTCACAAGCGTCCATACCACAAGATTGATTTTTGACGGAATGAAAAAGACATATATAGTAGAATCGTAAGCGTAGGGTGCCACCCTAATCGAAAATATTTCCCCAGGGGTTATCTGAAACCTCCAATCAATAGAATGGTGTAAGAAAATAACAAATATATCAAATAATTTGCTGGAAGGCATGAAACGAATTGAAAACAGAAAAAATCGTAGCAAAAAGGAGTGGCACTTTTGAAGAGTTATGTTTTACAATAAAATATAATTCGGTCGTCTAATTGGGCTTAAAGCACCTGCATTAAGTGCAAAAAAAACAATATACATTTTACAGATCCGTCTAATTGGGTAATTCTTGCCGTACACAATCTTCTTCTCATACCTCATTTACTATAAGAAGCCATTCTAACTAAGACAGCTGGCAGGACTAGATATAGTTTAAGGATGATCCAAAAGTCTATCCGAATTGTATTTGCACACATAGGGCAAATTGATTTTTGTATCATGGGAGGAGCTCATGATCAACAGTGAGGGCATGAGTCGGTTAAGTGTTGGAGATATATTTTGATGATCTTACATCAATAATATGAGATCAGTCCTTTGTCTGGGACGGAAATTGATAACTATAGAATCTTCAGCAGCCTTTGCTTGAAGCAGCTGCCATGAATCGAGGGGGCGCCTAACAAACCCTCTTTTGGTTTATAATTACGCACAGAATAAAGCTAAAATATGGTATTTATTACTTTTAAGACAGTGCATAAAATCAGGGTAACTGTGTGATAAAATCATTGGAAGTGATAATTACTTGCTGTTGGCTAATTCAGTGGGCTTTCATAAGGCATTTTTTCATAGATATGTGTCTGGTCATCATCATCATCATCATCATCATCATCATCATCATTATTATTATTTTATTCTCTTTTTATTTATCTCCATTCTCTTGATTGCTCTCCAGCTCTAACCACAGAAACCTGAATACCTCTAAAGGAATGTGCTTGGGTGGTTGACAGACGCTGTTTTTTTTTCAAGAAAATCAACGTGATAGTTCTTTTCTTTTTATTAGAATATTTTTAAGGTCAAGTACCCTAAGGATAGCAAGGGTCAAATGGTACAAATTGTTTATGAATCTCTGAAATTTCATAAGCTGCTAGCGAGTTTTTCTCTTCAGTGGGTTGAAGCTTGAGTGACCCTGGTTTGTGTGTTAGGTTTATTATGATGGCAGTTTACATGCATGCAGATTGAGCTTTTCTCTTGCTGAAAATATTTGATTCATGTGCGGACTGAGTTGCAACAAGATAGAAAACCCTGCACACTTCATAGAATATTTTTTACTTTTGTAATATTTGGTTTCAATGATTTTTTATATTGTGTTACCATTGTTTTATTTTTAAGTAATTGACAGGGGTTTCCTCTTAATTTCAGGGACTCCTATATGCTGGAAATGACACACTATTCGAATCTACTGGTCTTTATGGGCATGTAAGTTAATGCTCTTCAATAAATCTGTCAACCAATTGGTCCTTTTATGTTAATTGTACCAATAAAACATGTCATAAATTTAAGACTTAGGCTGATCTATATCCACATTTAAGTTTGATGACACCTTAACTTATTGTATGCTTGAATAGAATATGGTGTCATTTCTGTGATTTTCTTTTAATTAACGAAAATAAAATAAGGTCATCCTAAAAAACGCATACAATCGTATATAATAATTGCTGCAGAAGAATGATTTCCTTTCCTTGTTACGAGTAAGCCAATGGTAGGCATAGAATGCGCTGATCACATGGCTAGGTAGTACATCTTTAAAGAAAATGCCATGTTTTTCTGATTTCCTTCAACAATTTTCAAGGAAAAACCTGAGAACTCTATAAAGGAATTGCCTGGTTGGAATGACTTATGTGCAGCACGGTACTTGATTTAAAGATTTGTTCTTTAGACATTTGACTAATCTAATACTGTATTTGTGATCTTTTGCCTGGCCCATGTACATATTTTCTCAAAGCTGGAATAATACAGAAATTCGACTTTCTTCATTATTCAATAAACTATATGTCTGAATGTACATTTTTCAGGATTTTTAGTATGAAATAGTGGTGAAGTCCAACTAAGCCTAAATTTACTTTAATGTGCATAGCTATGTGTAAATATTGCTCCGTGTGCCTTTATTGTGGATGTTCCTTAATTTTGTGCTTATTATTTCATCTGATTGAATTCCAGTCTCTTGATTATGTGATTGATTTTATTGACATCATAGTCACTGTTCATAATGCCGCTAAAACGTCAGAAAATATTATGGCCATTGTAAACTGATAGTATCCTTTGCAGCTGATTTCACTTTATTGAGCTCAACACTGTGCAGCTTATTTTGCCTAAAATAAGTTTAGTTTCGTTCGTACAATGTTCTTGTAAGATAAACTGTCAGCGCAAACTTCTGGGGCACGAATGAGATGAAAAGTGGATTTTCCCTCCAGCACAATCACGTAGGGTTCCCACGATGGCCATTATTAAAGGGTTATGAATATATCTTTGGACTGCTTATGATGATCACGATTGGTTTCACTGTCTGATGGCCCATTTAATTTTTCATTTGAAAAATAACTTATGCACTTCATAGTACTAGTCTTCCCTAAATCCTTGTGTATTAACTTGTTGAAGTAACATGAGTGGTGCTAAGAATTTAAATTTTACCCAGTTTAATGAGTTAGTCTTACTATGCATTGAAATTTATATTATGAAATAAACATATATTTCAAATATTTTTGGAAAATATTTTATAAGTAACAAAATATGTTTATACTTTTTGTTTTCCTGCCCCACAGATACGTCGAATTGGTCATGGATATTTTTCTATATTCCTTTGCCCATACCAATACTTCTCATAGAAGTAAACTCTTTACGTCAAAAGTTGCAAGAAATAGAGTTTATTTTCTGAAATGATAACAGTATCCTAATTATATCCTAACATCTGTTTCTCCATTCGGTTACTAAAACCAAGTTTTCTCGATTTTCCTTCCTCTTCCTCTCGTAGTTGGTTGTTCTCTTCTTTTCTACCCCCTTTTCGCTTCCCTTATCTTTTACTTCGCTGTTCTACTAGGGGAGGGAGAGGTTGCTGAGGTGCAAAAGAAAAAGTGGAATGGAGATAACTTGAGGCGGAGGTTGGGGGGGGGAGGTGTAGTGGAGGTGTTGGGTGGGAACCCCTATAGAAAGTCAGCAACAGTAGGGATGATGGAGGACTGGAAAGTCGGCTTAGGGAGTAGCTTAAGGAGTGGGAAAAAGTGGCTTAGAGAAAGATTGGGGGGTGTGAGGAGGTGGAAAATCAAAGGCAGAGGGATGTAGAAAGACTGGGGAGAGGAAGAGAGAGAGAGTCATTTCGACCATCTGTTTGAGGAGGATAAACTATTGTCTACTCTTTCCAAACTAATGCCCTTAATTGGAAGGCTTATTTCTAATGTTTGGGATCTTTTTATGCAGTTTTTTCTTTGTAAATATGATGAAAAATGTTGATTGTATCGAATTATTATCATTTTTATTAGTTGTGTGTTACCAAACTCATTTAGCCTTCGTTATTTAATATTTTTTGAGTTTTTTTATCACATGCTTTGCTTAATGTTCCATTGCCCTGGTAGAATTTTCAGAAACCTTTGGCATCCATTGATAAATTAGGCCATGGATGTTTGACTAGTGTTTAAAATATTTGCTCTTTTCAGTCATCTGTTCGCAAGGTTCTTCTCCAGACTGGGAAGGTAATTATCATTGTTTAAGTTACCAGATACGGTTTGAGTTACCCTTCCTCAAATTATTCTACTTTCTTTCAATTGAAGGTTTATGATATCGTCACTACTGTTTTCTAAAGCCAAGCACAGTACGAATTAGTATGTTGTTCTGTTCTTTTAACCAAGACCTCCCGTTCTAGGGTTAAGGTAAGGGGTTGCTTCATATTACAAAATTTGCAAAGCAGAATGATTGAGCTGTGCACATCAGGAGCATTGGCACATCCATCATAAATTGAGGGGTTGTGGAGTCATAGGATGACTCCGTCTTCTGCCCTTTCTATTGTGCTTTTTTTGATGTAGTCCCTTCTATTGCTCACTATTCTCAATAGCACTAGATCTTACAACTTAGCTATCCTTCCTCACTTTTTTTTCCTTTGACTCTCCCTAGTCAGAGCATCAACAGGATTTGACTGATTGAATTCCTCATTGACGGTATTTCTAAAGGAAGTGATAATGTCTTTTCAATTTGATTTCTATTTAGAGTTTACACATTAAGTGTCAGCATATGGCTGTAGATGCTGACACTTCTCCAACTACCACCTTTGTCAGCATTGTGGTCTGACTTTGCATTATTAGGAAGTTGAAACTCTTTATCTTCGAACCCATTAAATTTGATGTTCAGTGCTTTGTTGACGAGGCAAAGGATCTTCAATGAAGGGTGAGGAAGGCATGTTATCGCTGTCGAATTTGGTAACAAGAAAGAAGGGTGAGGAAGGGTTTCCTACAACTGGATTATAACCTTAAGAGGAGGCTCAGAGCCATGTATGGAAGCTGTAAAATGAGCATCAAATAATTTGTTGCAAGAGTCACCATCAGTCTATGTTTGTTCTTAAGAATAGTGTACCGGAAGAAGAGCACTTTTATTAGTGATGTTAATGAGCTTATGGTTGAACTGTGTACCCAATGTTTTTTTTAATAATTGTTGTCCTTTATTTGAGTGCTCCAGTAAAAACGAAGGTTCAACTTTTAACTTGTTAAAATACAATGCATTTCACGGTTATCAGATTCTCTAAGAATTTCATTTGGTTGATATATAGGGTAAATGATTTGATTAACTGTAGAGTGATTTGTTGTGGAAACATGTTTGAGTGTTTGAAATTCTTCACGAACTTGGAGTTGGTGTAGGCTCCACCACGAAAAAGATAGAAATTTCGGTGAATGTCTCAGTTGAAAGGAAGAGTCTTTGGCTCAGACAAAGTGATGATTCCGTGAGCAGTTGGACGAATTTCAAGGTTTTAAAATATTTATTAACGAATATCTAACTTGATCCACGTGAATGGGCTTTTTCATTTGAACGAATTCGATTCAACAAAGGTTTTAAAATGAAAACTTGGACCCTGGGAATTTACAATGAAGCTTCTGTGTGTATCACCATGTGCCAAAATGAGCAGTTGGACAAAATGATAGCGAATTCTGATGAATGAGGTGGTGAGGGAAACCTGAGATGTCTGATGAACCTTGGTGTCTTGGTCATCCACGTGGTGCTTGCCATTGGCTTTCTGAGTAATGGAAAGAAAAGGAAGGAAAGCTGAATAAGTGTGGGAAAAATGAGATAAGAATTTGGCAATACAGGAGATGATAGAGGGATTTTTTAGAAAGAGGGAGGGAGAGGGCTGACTGTATGAATAGAAGAAAGCCTGGGAAAGTGTAGACAGGTCCGAAAGTGGAAGAAGAAAGGACGGGAGATGAATCGGTCTCGTTATGAATCCATTGCATTTGATATTTGAGCAATAAGATTGAAGCTGACAACACATTTGTGCAAAAGTCAACAATTCGACCCAGGTCTTGGAAACTGTAGGTGAAGCCAATTTGACGAAAATCAGAACGATCGGGGAGTGTTACAATTCCAGCAGACTGAGCTAACCATATGGGAATTGGTCTAGAAGCTAATGCAAAAGGGTTTTTGGAAGGATGAACTAAAAGGGAAACTTTCGATCATGGCTCAGGTTTCTCACCAGGGACCTGAACTGTATAGAATACAATAAGGGCATTTCCATAGGAAACAAGTGCTTTCATGGATGCTAGCGAGGGTATTTACTTTTGACAAACATTACGTTGAGTGTTCATAGGAGGGCACCCACCGTACAAATAAGGTAAGTGGTAAGAACCTTGATCTAGAAAGAGTAGGATTCTTTTCGAGGGGAACGGGAAACAGGGGTTAGGGAAAGAAGGTTTGAGTCATGGAGACCAAATCTGTTCCACCACAAGTAGGTGGAGGATCTCCAGGAACCTCTAGGACCAAGTGCTTTTTTCCTGGCCCCCTAAACAACTGAGTCCCCTTATTTATAGCCTTGGCCTCTCCCCTTTGCACGTAGATGCTTACTAACTTCCACGGTGGTTCGACCCGTAGAAGCTGGGAGCTTCTTCCTTCATGTCTTGATTGGAGGCTTATCAGTAAGCTAATGGTGTTCGACACAATGAGCCACACTAATAGTGGCACTGTAGTCTGCAAAATGAAATGAAAAACGACAAAGATAGAAGTCAAAGCTTCGGGTTCCTTCAAAACATGAAGAGTTTGGACATTAACGCTGTGTCTTGTAATATGGTCCTGCAGAGGGTTCATTCATATCCCAGGAAATTTAAGGTACCTTTCTGGAATTTAAACTTCCATCTGGGTAAATTTTCTCTAGAAGCTTAAGCTGCTGTAAATTTGCAGACATTAATGGAATTCAATTGGTCTTCGCAGAATTTTTGGATGATGTTTTATCGCTACAAAACATTGTACCCAATCAAGTATTTAACAGTGACCCCAAGATTTCAAGGAGTTGGAACCGTAGGGCTATACATTTAATTTGTTGATGATGTTCAATGACTTGATTTAAGCAAGCATTGAACTACCATAGTGGTGCAAGCCAATAAATAATTATGATGAATGGAATATAATACAGTATGATTTTAGAGAAAGGTAGTTCATTGCATAACGGTTTGGCATGCAATAATTTCACCATTAGCTGATTAGTCATTCTTTATAGGTTAGCTGACCCTACAGTTTATTCCTCCAAATATGCACCAATTACTTTGATTAAAATGTTCTTTTTTGCTTATTTTTCGCAATATTTTTTGTCTTTTTTCCTCTATTTTCATTTTTCCCTTTAATCACACCCTTTGATGTTGAAGTCGGATAACTTTCGTGCATGGTTTACTATCTACCTTAAATAACTGATTTCACTTTCTATGAACAGCGGTTCATATATACACAATATGAAAGTCCTTAGGGGCACATTTGATACGTATTATAGAATTTTGTGGTGTAACATTGTTCGTGTTCATAGGTTAAGATCATCCATCGTATGGATTCCAGCTTTTTTGGTGAAGGGCTTACTCTTCTTGGTGAAAGGTTGGTAGAGATCTTTTTGCTGTTCAAAGCAGATTCATAGTTCTTCCAGAAAATAAAAAACGTCTAGTTTGTGTAAAATGTTACATTTATGCTCATGTTAGTGACCGGCTGCTTAACAATGGGACTACTTTCTGAAAAGATGTCGTACTGTTGCCCCATTTCTGTCTTGGATTCTGTTTTTTTTAGAATGGTGGGTAATGCCGTGTATTTCCTGAAATAAATATTATTTTTGTTGCTTAAGGGACACCTTTGGCAATTTGGGTTCTAAAAATGGTGTAAATCAAAATGGAAATATGATTGATATTTTGTAGGTAAATGACCAGAGATTGTGGATGGCAATGAAATGCCAATGTGGCTATATTTTGTATCTGTTTTAGAAAAATCCTGAACAATGAAATGACATGTCAGCTTCAATATACTTTATCATAGAAACTATTAAAATTATGTGATCATCCCCTTTAAAAACAATTACGGATGAGTTATAACCACAAATTTCTTTTTTTACCAACTCTAATTTTAACATGCCTTCTCAAGTGTTTTGGCTCTGTCGCATGCACAATAAATGGGGCGTGTGCACCTTACGAGGAATCATTGGCTCTGATACTATGTTAAAGTCATGATCATGTTGAACTTGAAAAAGATCAATCATTAGTGGAGTGGACCTCTTCTATGGTCTTAAGCAGACGAGCTTAAACTAAAGGATAGAAATTTTATGTCAAACTCATAGATTGAGCAGTGAACTTTATGTTGTCCGGCTCTAAGTTGAAATAATTTCTGCAGATAGATAGCAAGATCAAAATTGCCATCGTTTTTCTTCTTTGTAGAACTACTAATTATATGTTGGCTGAATTCTTCTGTGCTTTCTACTTGTTACAACAAGCGTGGCATTCATTAGAAAACATGGTAAGAAATTTCATTTTTGGGGGCTCACAATTTTTACTACTTTTATGCTTTTATTTAGATCTTTCTACTCTCATCTTGATATCCATGTGATTTACTATGCATATTTCATATGTGAAACCTAAAAAATTGCATTTTGATTGCTCTGTTCTGTTTTTTGTAGACTCTACCAGGTTGCTTGGAGGACCAGAACTGGTTTCATTTACGATAAGCATAGTCTTAAGAAAGTTCGTCCATACCTACCTTTCGTTTACTTTTTCCTTTTACCATTGAATCAAGTTTGTTAACAAACTATATGTACTGAAAAAAATTGCACTATACCCGATACTTGCATGCTTTCAAAAATAAGTTAATTGTTCAGTAAACCCGTCCTGTGTGGCTAGAGTCACAGTGTTAATTGATTCCTCTGCCCACGTAGTCAATGGAGTCACTTTCCAAGATCCCCCTTGCAACTCTGTTCTGCAATCTATAGAGAACCCCTAAACCACTCTGCGAGTTGTGCCTTTTCAAGGTTGGCACTATATAATTTCATATCCATGCTGATGTTGTGTTTTTTAAAATTTTCAAGAATATCTAAGACATATTTTGTAAGGCATATCTTCAAAGATTTATGGAGTATCTACGATTTCATTATAACCACCAAATTTCATGTAACTGATTCCGTGGCTCGTGTCACTAAATTAGATAAGCTAAATGTCTAAGAAAATGAAGTAATGGTGCATTAGCTAGTTATAATTTTGTAGTGCTCTATCTGTGGCAAATAGCCCCTTAAGTCATTTTTGGTGAACTTTTTGGCATTGATTAATTAGAGAATTGCATTTCGACGGCACAGACGAGTTTTTTTTTTATAGGATTTTAAAATATGACTGTCTCACTCTTAGCAAGCTCAGACAGTGGGAATCGGCAATGCCCCTGGCTGAATTTTCTTGCATGATCTTGATGAATAGATCTTCTGTCAAGTTCGGATTTGAGGCAGTAGTATATGGAGGCTTTCCGAGACCCTTGATCTCGTTTCTCTTCCCAAAGTACCTTGGTATAATGCGGCATCTCCACACACAATGGTGAAGCAGCATTTGGAGATAATGATTGCTTGGTCTTCGGAAGTGGCTGATCTACATCGACATGCGAAGATGTCTGTTAATCTGACGATGTGATAGTGTTCTTGAGAAAAGAAGGGTGTGCTATTGCTAGTTATAATTAGTTGATCCCATAAAAGACTTGATCACGTAAGATTCTCAGTACAATAAGGTGCGGCTGATATTCTGAACCCGACAAATGCTTCAACGAGTTTGAATGTTGTTGATCGATTTTCATGATATCCACTTGCTCTGTTGACTGTAAACACAAGGATGAGTTTTCTTAAAGTAAAAGGGACTGATGCAGAAGATTGTACAGCTCGGTATAATGATAAACTGCATAATTCTAAGTTTGAGAAATAATGGGTGATACAGCTGGTTGACTATATAGGTTCTACTCTAGCCTAAACGCAGTCTTTTACGTATGTTTTAAGTTTTATCTTTGTACAAGACCGAATTGCCCCTGATAAGTTTTCATACTCTCCCTCATATTGGGTCTCATCTCCCTATCTGCTGTCTTCCACCTTTAGATGAAAACTAATGCTGTGACTATGTAGCTATAGCTCCTGCTAGTCGTTACTAGCAGCCCAATATCCATGCTTTTTCTTTCCTTCTCTTTCTCTTTTGCTTTTTCTACTTCTGGATTTCCTGTCTCATCTTTGGATGTCTGCATTGTCTTCTGTCACCAAATTTGGCTCAACCATGGTGTCATTGACCATAGTCGATTATGGAGGTTGAGGCTAAGATACAGAAATGAATTGAGATTAATGTCAATAAATGCTCAAGGTATCTTGTTATATATTTGCCTCACGTTGTGAGCATTTCTGATCTTGTAAGTATCAACTCAAATCTCCAGATATCACTGCTGTTGTTATTCATTTGCTGGCCAGAATTTTTTTTCTGAAACTTATAACGATATTGTGGCAACATAATCTATGTATTCACGGGATGAATATACTCTCTCTAATGGATGTCAGAAGCTGTGCCCTTTCTTTCACTGTTCTTATTCTTTGAGCTGAAACTTTTAAGTACTTGTTGCAGGTGAAGAAATTCACCCATCAGATGGACGATGGCTGGGGACTAGCCACTGACGGGAAAGTCATATTTGGCAGTGATGGAGGTTCAACACTGTATCAATTGGAACCCCAGAGCCTGAAAGGTTTCAGTCTACTTCATTTTACGGGCGTTTTTCGCAGAGTTTCTCATGTTTTGTCTCACCGAGTTTCTTATGTTCTCTATTGTACAGTCATAAAGAGTACAGTAGTCAAATACAATGGTCAGGCCGTTTTTGATCTAAATGAGCTGGAGTTCATAGATGGCGAAGTATGGGCAAATGTCTGGCAGGTATGACCACAGTTTTCTGTTTCTTCACCATCACCCTTTCTTGAATGACAGAATTTTCCAGATGCTATTTTGTTCTTCTTTCAATTCAATGCAAAATCATTGTTTTACTCAATCATTTTATACTGCATTTCTCCTTTGGTGAGGCTTTGCCACACAGAAACGTCTGCCCTTTACTCATATATGAAAGTGCTTAGTCAATGATCATGATTGGTAACAGCAGAAAGGCATATTCCTCAATCTTTTTCCACCTGGCATCAACCAGTAACTTAGATAAATGCAATCTCTTGTTCGTCCCCTTCATTTCTCATTTGGCTGTGGGACTTGGTATGAAGTGATGGGCATATTCTTATTATCGTCTACTCTCAAAGTAATTTAGTTGCACTGTGCAGACCGACTGTATAGCCAGAATCTCGCACGAAGATGGAAAGGTGCTTGGCTGGATCCTTCTCCACGGGCTTAGGTTAGCACATATCATCTTCATTGGAATATTTAGCATCCTTCTTCATTCTGTCCAGCCTCACGAATCTTCATGTTGCAGGGAAAGCTTGATCCAAACCTGGAACAAAGTAAGCCGACCATGATCCCTCCCCCTCTTCTCTTTATGATGCCCTCTTATGCGTCGGTGACTGAGCCTCAAGTTCTTCATGATCCCACTCGCTGTAGTAGGAGGCAATCGTTTCTAGACTGATTTAAGTTCACAAACCTTTCGGCGTTTGACTAGTTTCATCGTTTGGGTGGCGTCAGGAAATCGATGTTCTGAATGGAATTGCGTGGGATCAAGAAAATGGGCGCATCTTCGGTACGCTCCTTGACCTTTTCTCCTGCGGAAGATTTCCCGGATGCCGTCGTCGCTCTGACGTCCGCTCTCTGTAATCATCATCGTCGTCATCTCATGTGCTGTCGCGGACGACAGTGACGGGGAAGCTGTGGCCGAAGCTTTATGAGATCAAGCTTAGAGAACTGACCGGCCCACTGAACGGCACGGTGGAAGATATCTGCCGTCTGAGGCTGTTCTGAGGGAGCGTGGCAGCGACAGACCTCGTCGAGCGGCGGCGCCGGGGGAATCTAGAACGCCAGCGTCACACAATCAACCCCTAACTACGATTGAAGCCTGGAGAGTTGAGAGGGTTGTCGTTGTTCAGGCCAGCTGTGTCTGGGTGGAGTGAAGGCGACGCCTTTCTGACTCCTTGCTGTGGCGGTAGCTTGTATGAACTTCTCTTAAGAATGCCGGCGATAATAAGAATTTCTCCAGTGGACGTCACAGCGAGATGCGTAGCTGCCTCACGAACTTGGGGAGTGGCGCAACTCGGTTGCACGATAAGGCGTCGACGAGAAAGCGCTTCCCGTACTGTGCCGCGTCAACACGCCCGGTTGACCAAGGGCCCCGCACGGAATATTTTACCTACTCGCGGCCCCGCTTTGCTTCCCTGCACCAATCGCAGACAAGCGTGATCCCCGGTGGGCCCGCGCACAAATCTCTGACACAACGGAGGGGAGAAGACCATGGTGGCGGCGATCTCAGCCGCCGCCAATAAATTTTTGGGTTTTTTGTACACGTAGATCTACGGCCGAGAAATCGCTGACTTTACCGCCGCAACTGAGGAATTGCAGATCAAAAAATGTACACGGAAGGCCAACCGAGAGAGAGAGAGAGAGAGAGAGAGGAAGGATGCACAAAGGGGATGCTGACCTACGGAAGGGTCAGCTCTTTCCTCATTACGTAGCAGTGGAGGGATCGTGAGAGGCGCCGTGGCTGAGGCAATCGAGGATCTCCGCCCGGCTGAGGACTACCCGGTGGAAGACCTCCCTCAGCGACCGCTGCAGCGGGCTGAGGTTGTTTTCCATGGCCTGGCAAGTCGCCGCCAGCTCGACGGAGACGTTCGCAAGCAGCTGCTCCTCACACTGCCCGTCCAGCTCCGCCAGCACGCGCCCGCACCGCACCATCGCTTGCAGCTCCGCCAGAATTCCCGGCGCCGACGAGCCCCTGCGGTCCCTCTTCCCGTCGTCGGTCACCCGCTCCTGCAGGGCCGCCATGGGCGCCGCCCACGGCAGCTGCTTCAGTAGCGGCGGGAAGCTCGCCGGCACCTGCCCCGAGAAGGCCGTCACCAGCGTCCACATCACGAACACGTTGACGGCGTTCATCGTGTACACGGCCGCGACAAGCGCCGAAGTCTCGGCGGCGCGCGGCGGGGCGAGGCTGGCCCACATAGACTGGATTTGCCTTGCTGCCGACCAGTTCCTGTACACGTTCAGCGAGAGGCACTGCCGAATATTGCCGGAGCTGCCGCCGCTGCTGCTGCCGTCGACGCGAGAGCTCCGACCGAAGGAAGACGCCCTCTCCGTGGTGGCGGCTCCGCGCGGGTAGCGGTGGCTGGGGGCGAGGGAGGCGAGGAGCTTCGAGAGGGCCCTCCTTGCCCGGTGAAGCTGGGCCTCCCCGAAGGCGCCGCTTGGGGCCAGCGCAGAGGCGGCGATCTCGGCCTGCTTCTGGCAGAAACCCAGCGACTCGAGGGCCTGCGTGACGGCGTTGCATATGTCCAGAGACTTGACGGCGGCGTCGAGGAAGCTGTCCACGAGGCCGTTGACGGGCGGCCGGGAGAGGAGGACCGGATCTCGGAAGAGCAGCTGCAGCAGCAGCGCCTTGAACTCCTCCTCGATGCAGATGAAGGCGTCCAGCAGCTTCTGCAGGAAGGAGAGGGTCACCAGCGGGCCGTGGTGCTCACGGTCATCTTTGCCCTCGCCGTCGGTGGCCAGGGAGGAAAGGCGCTCGGCGACGTGAGCCTGGAAGAGTTCGAGCTCTCGCAACTCCAGCTCCTGGGCGTTCTCCATGGAGACCACCTGGTTGTTCCGCCGCAGGCTGATCATCGAGCGGGCGCGGACCACGAACGAGACGGAGGAGTATACGTGGCCGCCGATCGAGGAGGACGAAGGTCCTCCTCTCTGCTCCGACCGCCTCATCTTCTTTCCCCACTGGATCACTGCCCTTGCGATCGATTTTGGGAGCGGAGCTCCTCTCCGCCGTCTTCCACGATCGATGGCGGGGAGGCGGCGGCGGCGGAGGGGATTAGGCTGCTGCGATCAGAGAAAGAGGGCAGATTTGGGGCAGATGGGGAAGGTGTAGAGGAATATATACCAGCACACGTCACGAAGGTCAGATAAGGCACGCAGATCGGAGGGCAAGAACGGTTCAAAGAGAAAGGAAGACCAAGTGTTGTACGGTGTTGATTTACCCAACCGTAGGCTGACTTGGCTCCGGTTCCGGGCCGCCCGCCCACCCCTCACTCGCCCCCTCCACCATTGGATAATTTATTGAACGTCACGACAAAAGCATACACGCAGTTTAACGGTGACGGAAACCGTGAAAAAAAATTCCGCTCCTACGCGGAAAAGACCCTTCGCCCTCTCTCTCTCTCTACCTGCCAATATATTATCTATATATAAAACGAGGGAAGTACGGTATAACGAGCGATCACGCACGAGGCAGAAAGAATGAGTCAACGAGGCGTCGATGGTCCACCTGACGATTTCCGTTGGGGCGAACCGAGTCGACGGCTATGGGGCCCGCATTCCGATTGTACAGTCCCGCCAAGAGACCGCGTGGGACGCGGACGGATACGGTCCTCCGCTCAGCGTCCAGGCCATCTTACCGCGGGGATCTCGGAAGAAGATCTTCGTCGCCGCCGTTCCCTTTGCATGAAAATCACGGCAGACCTCTCTGTCTGACTCGACGACCTCGCCAGCAGATCGGCCCCACACGCGGACATCCCCCCGGCTGACTCGCATAGACAAGTCGAAAAGAGTAAATCACTTCGTACTATGCCCACGTGAGACCCGCGATTCAACGACCTGCCGAGTGGATGTACTCTGAGTGTGAGCATTTATGGTTTTATTCGCCCTAAGTCAACGAAGATAATAGTTTTAAAGAATGGTCCACAGTTTTTGGAAGGAAAGGCTGGGGGGGTGTTCATGTACGGCTCAATTCTGGCTAGGAATTTCTCGTGCTTGGAATCGGAATTGTGCTGGAAAATACTAAGTTCTTGGGCCCGGCTCAATATCCATCCAAGTCAAATATTGTGGGATCTAAGCCCAAAATTTTCAGACGTATTTATTTTGCTAGATATAGCACATTGCTGCTCACAATGCATCACATACGATGTTCGTCCCACCACGCTTCACAATGTGCCTGAGGAAATATGAGTAGAGTTAGGAGACAAGGGAAGCCTAGATTGGAAGAAAAACTCACTGACAACCAGCTCATTTCTCTTCTTACTAGCCTAAACAAGAGCAGCTCACGATGTTGGTCGTTGCTTAACATTAGGTATTATTCTCACCACCTCCTTCAGATGAAGACCTCTTCCATTAGGCCCCTTAATCCCTTTTCCTACCGTATTCATTTTTATAGATAGGCAGAAGCATTGCAAGATATGGTGGTAATCATTACCAAATCAGATGGTTTAGTCTCAAGGATAAAAAGATTTCTAAAGGTCACATGCTCATTTGCACCTCCTAGAAGGCCATATGATTGGGAACATATAAAGGTCATCATCCATCTTATTTCCAAGCGGTCCTTACATTGAAATCAATTTTCATATTTGACAGAATCCTTACTCTCAAGTAATTTCGTTATTAGAAAAAATACAAACTATATACATTTTAAAAGAAGAATGAAATATCTATAAGAAATTTTCGGTTCATAGGTGATTTTAAAGTTTCTATAAGTACTATATGTTGAATGATGAAGTAAAGAAATATAAAGTTCAATTAAAATAAAAATAATTTTTTATTCAATCATATCTTCTTTTTCATTTCAAGCTAGAAATATTTGGAAAGTATCTTATTTACCCATCAAATCAAAAAGTTCTGCAAATAGTATTCTACCTGATGATGATGTAAACAAATAAGAAGCTAAATACAAAAGGACTAATTGGGAATAAGTGTTATATTTAATACAAACCCTTTACTTACTAAAATGAAAAGCCTTTAGTTGATCTATAATTTAGACAATATTTGAGAGTTTAGTTACGTAAATTAGTTGCATAGATTTTAATGATCTTGAGTCAAATGAAATATCTTATAGAATGGCCAAAAGAAAAAGTGTTATTCTACCATATAAATTAGGAGTTCTTAATCACTAGAATTCAGGATGGCTATTTTAATCGTGCACATCATACTGTTTCAAAAATTGATTCTAACATCAAATATTAAGAATGCTTTTATCAACCATGGATAAATGTATTGGTCATTATAATAATTTTCTGGATTCAATTAGCATACTCAACTATATGTTACATATTTATCTATTAGAATGTTTAATTAAGTGTACATGATTCTAATCAGCCCAATGTACATTGAACATTGCGATTACCATCATAAATTTTTGAGTAGTCTTAGGACTAACCTGATCATCGTATTTGTTGTAAAACCTTGATTTAGGAATCAAATTGATAAAAAGTCTCATCTTGTGAAGAGTAACAATTGAATACCAGATCATACAAATAGTTTTAGACTTAATTTTTTCTCACAAGCATAGGCATGTTCAAATTAAAAAGATATTTGAAAGAAAAAAATTATGCAATGGACAGAAAAAAAAATAACGATTTAAATTTTTATGTATTTTTTAAGAAAAATTTACATTTTGTGATGTTTAAATTTATGATCTGATGGTATGGTGAACAATCTAATTTCCCACTATTGTAAATGAATATTCGGTGCCTCAAAATTCAGCATAAGAAATGAAGACATTGCTCCTCATCTAAGGTTGAAGAGATTGAGAATCACAATGGCCATCTCTATAAGACCAGTAAGTTTCTGGAAGAATCATAACCCATACATATTGTGTTATTTGTTTAGAGTAGTAACACATTGTGCTCAAGTCAACCTAGATTCATCAATATATAAGACCTTGATCAATATGACCAGTGATTTTGAATCATTTTACATTATTCTTGTGTCCTTCATGGTTAAAATAATTGCATTTAAAACCTTTTCTCATCAATTACTAAATAATAGGACATTATAAATATGTTTTTTGTTCTTTCAAGAGTTTTAATTCTATTTTCAAAAAAATATTCACAAGTAAATAAGTTTAAAAATCACATTCTAAAAATTGTTTCTAAAGGATCAAAAACACATTATTAAGGACAACTTTGATTCCCATTAACTGTCTTTATTCAGTTCATTATTTAATGAATTGAAACTCAAATAAGCTTTCAAACTGATATATGATTATTTTCAAAAAAAAAATTCAAAAGCTAGTATGTCAACCCATTTAACATTTTGATTTAGTAATGGAAACATTAACAAATGGAAAATATATTCCAAAAAAATATTTATTTTCCAAGAAGTTTCATTGTCTTTTTATTTCATCAAAAGTAATGTCTACAGACCAAATCAAAAGTATAATACCATTAAATGACAATAAAATAAAGTAGAAAAACTCTTAAATGAGATATATACAATTTTTAAAATATCTTAAAATCATTGTGTCAAGATGAAGAAAATCATGTTGGCCAATTAAAGATTTCTATTTTAGAATTTATAAAACTTATTATTAACTAAAATATTTGTTTCTAGCCATTTGTATCCAATTATTGATTTCATAGTTAGCGGATAGCCATTGACAGAAGTTTGAAATGGGTTCTTAACTACAAGGACACAAACTAATTGATTATTTCCTTTAGAGTTTTAATTTATATTTTTTTTATAATTGACCATTTATAGAAAATATAACACAAGTTCACCCATGAAAGCCTTTTCTTTTTTAAATGGAAAAATAATAATACTAAGTAAAATCATTATCTCTTGTATTTTTTGTTATAAAGATTATTATTTATCAAAAAATTCAAAATTTCCCAACCATAAAGTTGATGTACATTCCTTATAAAGAATACTATCTTTTGGGATGTTTCTTGTTTTTTAATATTTCTTTTATAATGTGAAAACAATCAAGTTTGACATTACAACATATTTTGAAATAGAAAAAAAAGGACTATAACTAATATATCTTTAGGTATTAACTTTTTATTATTTAAAAACTTATTTTTATTCCATTATTAAAAAGAATACTATTGATAGAAAAATTGAAATAAATTATAAAATGAAGTGCATCAGAAATGTCTCTTGTTTTAAAAAGTTTTAACTGATATTTTAAAAGGTTATTACGTAGAAATCAGATAAAAAGAGGTTTTCCTCCTAAAATTCTTTATTTTTAAAATGGAAAAGGATATTATTTAATAAATATTTTTTCTTCTTTTAGTTCCTAATTTCTTCACATAATTATTAGAAATATTACCATTGTCATACAAAATCAAGTTTATTTCATCTATTAATACATGATCGTTGGAAATTTCAAGTAAAACTTGTTTAATGAAATTAAGAATGCATGTGATTAATCCATTCTGATTTTTTAACATCAAGTGAATCTTGTGCTTGAGAATTTATAGATACTATTTCTGTTTGAAAATATTTTTTCCCTCACAGATATATAGATGACTCCTTGTATTACATCTATCTCCATATTAGAGAGAGTCATTTGTATCAATATGATAATGGTATAACATAGGCTTGCCATTCATTATGTTATAGGACCAAGATTTTTAGATTATTTCTTCCTTTAACCATTCAACATTGTATCTACACACGTCATGCATCCCCCAAAATAGGCAATTCATTTAACATCATTATCTTGATAAGATTTGCAATTCCTAGGGATGGAAAGAAATCTATCTTAATAAATAATAGGAAGGAGACTTTTCCTCATTATCTTTGTGTTAACATTTGTTAATCTCCAAGGTATATATAAAGCAGTTGCATTCGATTCTAGTGGGGAGGAGAAAACATTTTTTGAAAGAGTTTCGTTTGTACTTTGGTCACTCTTTTGGTTCTTGTACTATTCTTGCCAATTATTTTTGTATTGCGAGCATTCATACTCAACACGAGCTATTCTGTACATCGTGAAC